ATCGAAATTGCCTGACAAGTGACAAGGCCAATACCAGCTAAAAAAAATGTTATTAAACCCCACAGATTGTACAGATAATTTGGATTCCTTCCAGGTAACATTCCAAGTATACGATATACCTGAATTTGTTTACTTATCACTGACTTCGAATCCATGTTAAAAGTTGTTAGTTGTATCGTTGATGGAAATACTGTGATTGTTGTGCCAAAAGAACATTTCGTTTATACTCGTTCCAATTAGAATGTTTCGTAATGGCAAAAATGTAATAGAAATGTTAATTGGCTAGAGTAGTGGGTACAAATTTATGGACATTCAAAAATGGCTCATTAGTCTAATTTAGATAGAAACAAATTGAGCGGATTTTATGAAATTGGTTTTCAGTTGCAGTTACATAGTGAATCCAATTAAGTAGCATTACGCGGTATTATTATTGGTATTCGTTTAATAAAAGTGAAACATTTGATTGCATTTTTCGTTGGAAATACAATTTTTCCTTCGCCAAAGACGCAAACTGCAAAGAGTTTCGAATACTTTTTTAAGGGTCAATTGGGACGAATAAAATACGAAACATTGAAGTAAAATGTCATCATTCCCAATCAGACTGCATCTATTAACAAAAAAAAGCGTTGAAGATAGACAAAACATTCGAGTTCATAATCAACAGAATATTGGTGATATTGTATGACGTACCTATTGATTATTTGATGAATTTAAAAGCGTCTATATGCTTTCGAAAAAAAATTTTCTTCGAAAGCAAATGAAAGAAAAAAAGAAATCGACCAGACAATGATCTCAATCTGTTTTCGGAATTGAACAATAATAAGGATTGTAGAAAGATGAGATCGGAAGTTATCACGAAAAATTCAAGTCAATTAATTTGTTGCTACAATTCAAAATACGTATACGTAAACGAGTAATACTCGAAAATTCATGTTCCGAAAAAGATTTCGAAGAAATTAAATTGTATGACAAAAAATATAAATACCAAATAACACGGAATGGAGTAAACAATTTTGCCTAGTGATAATTCAATTTCCCAAGAAAAATCTAATGAAACTCGACTCAAAATTGTGCCACAAAGCCATTCCGGGGTACACTAAAGAGAATTTTGTAGCTGATATTTTCATTGGCTTACATTACAAGTAGGAGAAAAAAAATCGATTGTAGTGTCAATGTTCATGTTCGTATAACGGCTCGAAACAATGCGGACAAAACGTGACCAATTAGCTAGCCCATTGAATTATCGAGTAATTTATTTATTTAGTATATTCCGTGAAGTAGCTCCAAAAATGATAACTTTTTTCTGATAAGATAATGAAAATAATTCATTTCGATGCCTCAAATATAAAATTAATAAATCACACCAATCCATTTTGTAGTCGCTAAAGAACATGAAGGAATCAAGGAGTTTACTATGTAAGTATTTTCATGTTAATTTTCTTTTTTTTCCTCCTGTTTCGAATTAGTAAATTTTATATTTCGACAAGTTGAATTGGTTTTTTGTGTTCAATTTTCAATTGATTTACAATTAACCGAAAGTGATGAAATTCTTTTAAAATTTTGTGTTCAATTAAGTACCTAAGCAACTTGTACGAAAAGTGATTGAACTTTAATTTTTTTTTCGTAACATTTTCTTATCTAAAATGGTTTTAAAATTAAAGGTTCGATATTGCCGCAGCGTGTTATACTATCTATAATGGGGACGCTTGCAATAGCAGCTGCCTATACTATTCGATCATGTATATCAATGGCAATCACTGAAATGGTTGTTTCTGTCGACGATGGAAATCACAAAGGCAAAGCTGAAGAATTTCTATCCAGAGTATGTTGCAATAAAATACTTTTGTTTCTACATTGTTGAAAATGTGGACATTTAGCTGATAAGTTATTTTTATTTAAAAAAAAAATTGATAAAACACACGTTATTATTGTCCGTTCGTCCAAATTAGGCTGGCACAAAATATAATTGGACTCAAACGCAGCAGCAAGCAATTTTGAGTAGTTTCTACGTCGGTTACGTGATTTCACATATTCCCGCAGGATTGATTGCCGAGAAATTTGGTGGCAAATGGACTTGCTCGTTAGGCGTTTTATTTATGGCAATTTGCAATGCTTTCACTCCCTTGACCATCGAATATGGTGAGTTGTTGTGGCAAAGATTTTTTTTCGGTGCTATCGTTTAAAAAATAATTCTACGCAATCACTCAGGTGGATGGATGGCATTAATTGCCATTCGCATTTTGGTCGGCCTCGGGGGAGGAACGACATATCCAGCTCTGGGTGTTCTGCTGGCCTCTTGGGTTCCACAGAAAGAAAGAGGAAAACTTGGATCGTTTGTGCTCGGCGGTGGTCTGGTTGGTATTAAATACTCTCATTTGCTTTTACAGAAGAATTTGATAAAAAAAACCACAACATTTTAACCAATTAATAAGTGAAAACCAAAAATGTTACTGATTAGTTTTCGATTTTTCTTAATTTTTCATTTTTATAGATTGGCAGTATGTTATCAAATTATTTTTCTGGTTTAATTTTGAAAACCTACACATGGGAAATGGTATACTATTTCTGGAGTATAGTTTGTGTCGCATGGTTCATCCTATTTGTAAGTTTCAAAATATATTTATTTTTACAAAACGGTTACGACAAAGCTAAAAAACATTTCTATTGCAGACTTTAACTTGTAGCAATGACCCTGGATCGCATCCGTTCATCACAGAAAAAGAGCTGGCTTATCTAAAAAAAGAAATGGGTCAGACCAAACGAGACGATGATACGCCGCCAACTCCATGGATATCAATTCTCACAAGTGTTCCAGTTTGGGCAATGGCCATCGGTTTGATTGGTCACGATTGGATTTTCTACATCATGTCAGCTGACATGCCAAAGTATTTCAAAGACGTGCTAAAACTTGACACTGCCGACAATGGTCTTTATAGCTCACTGCCCTTTTTGTGTACGTGGATTGTGTCGATCTTGAGCGGTTTCCTATCCGACCTTCTGATCACCCGTGATATTGTGTCAATTACGAATGCGCGCAAAATCTTCTCAACTTTGGGTAAGTGCTGTTACTATCTTCATTTTTTGTGCTGTGGAAAAGACTCTCGACTTTTATATACTTGATACCATAACGGCGCACGAGAGACTTGACAGCACGAATTATATGCGTATGACGCAAACACTTCAAATCAAATTACGATCGATTAAACAACATCTGCCCATTCGATCTGATATAGGAGCCGATTTTCCGGCCAAATTTGTTTCAATTCTTTAAAATTCGAACTTTTCATTCTACATTACTAGGAGCCATTTTCCCAGCAGTTTTTCTCGTCGCTGCATCATACGCTGGGTATGATAAAGAGAAGGTCATACTTATGTTTACATTGTGTATGGGTTTCTTGGGCAATTTTTTCACTGGACTGAAGGTCAATGCCTTGGATTTGAGTCCAAATTATTCGGGCAGTTTGATGGCTCTTACGAATGGTTTGGCTGGAATGGCGGGCGTTGTTGTTCTCCCAATCGTTGGTGTAATGACTCCTAATGTAAGTATAAACTCGAAAAAATGCGAACAACACGTTCTGATAAGATATATCAATCATATTTCAGTCATCACTCGAAGAATGGCGTTTCGTATTTTGGATTACACTCGGTTTCACTATTTTAAGAAGTGTGATCTATATCGTCTGGGGCTCAGCCGAAATACAGCCTTGGAACCACAGACCAGCAAGAAATGTGACACCAGAATGCGGTATCAAAGTTGATTTGATGAAAAAAGACAAAGAAAACCAAAACAACCAAAGCTGATACTTTTTTTTAACCTAAATTAAAAAGTAGAAGATAAATTACCTCTGTTTACTAGATATACCTATACCTAAGTTAAGATATTGTCAAGTCAGCTGTGTACTTACCTTTTTTTTTCTATGGAAAAATCCACGAAAAATAAATAATTCAATAAATTATGAATATAATTAATACTCAGAAGAGAAAACAGAACACAAAGCTTTATCTTTTTTGCCACCATAGGCTTACAATGATGTTCATTCATGGTGTTTTTGAAGTAGAAAAAACTGCCATGATTCAGGTGATGATCAAAACAAATGTTTATGCTGTCTAGCGGAGAGAAATTACAATGTTTGCTCAATTTGATTGACACGCCACAGGAAAATTTGGAACCAAAATGTACTGACTTCGTCGCACTGTAAACAAAATGTTTTTGACTACTTAAAATGTGTGTCGCACAAGTCGTTGAGGCAATAAAGCATGCCCCAAATGATCAAACATTGAGCATTAATCTAAACTAAACAGAGATTCCGGAAAATATTTTGAGAGGGGCCTCTTTACAAATTTTAACACAGAAATCGTCATTTTTATTTCTCAAAAGTGAATTACACTTCAGATTTTTTTTTTACTTAGCTTTAATCAATTGACAATAAAGACTACAAATATCTGAAATGACTTTTTAGTGGATTGAATCGCGTTGACAGCTTCAAGAAGTTGAACAATCAATCATCCTAACTTTTCTCAGGAACAGTTGTTCGAAGAAGAACGTTCATTCCATAATAAGATTTATTGTAAAATCTCTTACAACCAATTGTTCAAACTCGTAAATTATAGCAAAGTTTCTAAGTAAACTGTAGATAAATAAACCATTGATTCAATCGCATTTAGTAGCGAATAAATCAATACAAACACCATAAGAAATATTTATGAGTACAAAATCCAAAAGAAGAATGAGATCGAAATTGAGATTAAAAATTGAAAAATTGCCAAATCCAAAAATAAAAGGAAAAAATCGATAGATTGTGTGTGTTTGATTTCTGTTGCGCAGTCCATGTGGAGAATCGAATTGAACCAAAATTGTGAGGTATGTAGTAACGGTACTACTACTACTCATACTATATACTAAAGTCCAATCGAACACAAATAAACCGCAAGTGGCTGTTGGACGCCTCATTTGAATTTGTTGTGAAATTTGAGCGAGCTGTAAAAACACACAGAAAAAAAATCACAAGTAACTCACGTGTTGTACTCAAGCATACGTTTTCTTCGATTTTTTTTCTTTTCATTTGAAGATTAGATGATAGGATCTTACCGAAGCGCTTACATCTGCGTCATTGCAGCGATTAATATTGTGCACTAGCTCCGACGTTCTCTTACCCTATCACGATTAGAACAATGTATTTATATTGATTAATTCGTATCAATATAGATAGAGACAATACCTCGCGAGCGATAATTGCGCCAGCATAGATGACCATGTAAGTGTAGATAGCGTGAAATATTTGATAATCAAGGTGAATGCGCATCAATTGTTCGAAGAATTCGTTTTGTTGCAAAATATACCGATAGAGCGTGTAAAACGTCAATACGGAAAAGACAAAATCGTCCCAATCGTCAACATCACCTAATAGCAGCATGATTTGTTTTTCCGATTAGTTAATAAATCATTTTGGTGATAAGACATTTGAACGATCGTGCAAATAAAATGGGCACTAAATCAATGCTTTGTATATACACCTGTAATGAGTAACAATAATTAAGTTGCTCCATAATGCCCGTGAGCAAGTCATGTTGTTGTGCGACAAATTTAATGTAAGCAACTGACGCATCTCTAAAAATCAAAATATTTTGAATGTTTTAGGGTCTCTGAGAAAACAATTTGTTGTTCATATTTACTTTATCATAGAGTTGAGCACTTTGAACCGATGATGAATTTTGAATATAAGAACAAAGTAGGTTGTCAAAGTCATTGCGGTAATCAGACGATGGTAAACGAAGATGCAAAAGTGAATTATAATTCGTAATGTTGAGCATTTGATCAAATCGTCACTGTAAATCATAAATGTAGAAAAAGCTAATATAACGGATATTGACACTGTGCCCGTGTACCACAGCAGAATACGTCGACGACTGTTTTATAATTAACACGTACGCCAAACTTTGCAATCTATGATCAGAATGAAACCAAGTTTAATTGAACATTTTAAATTTATTCACTGAAAAAGCATCATATAAAACTGCACAGCAGTCAAATGGGAAATGCATTTATTCATTTATTCATTTATGTATTCAAAGCAAAAGTGTAGTACTCTCACCTCATCATCAAAAACAGTGAACTTTTTCAAAATATCGATCAATCGACCGCGATTGTACATGTCAAGTAGAATGAAAAAAACGCCAGAAAATAGGCCAAAGATCAAAAGTAAATTATCTCCGATGATCAAAATAACGGACTCATCATTTGGAACTTGGGGTATTTCCGTGGTTTGATAGCAAAATATTACCAGAAATAAATAGATCCCGATTGAAAGTACAAACCAAATGAAATCAAATGCACTAACTTTCGCTCTCTGGGCATTGCCTTTCGAGTCGCGTATCATTGAGAATGGCAATTGACCAATAGCACGCGAAAAAAAGTAAATTGGCATTACACTGTAGATTGGGTTGTCTTTTTTTTATGGAATATTTTTTCTCTGGATCAATGTAGGCAAGTCGATATTTGAAGGACGCCCTGCCAAGGTAAACACGACGGAAACATCCTTTTGATTCACTTGCATCTTGGCTTTTTAGTTAGTTATGACGATACGAGAGCAGTTTAATGCTTGACGTCACCAGTTGCAATGTGTAATAATTCAGAAATTGTTGCGTGTGGACAATGGACGTACTTATCAATGGCATTTAATCGTAATAAAAATAATATTCAACAATAATCTATTTATTCAATCCCTTCGTTGTGTATAATTCTTCTTTTATTTGAATTTGATACGCATATTGCGTTTTGAATTGTATTGAATTTTAATAATTTAAATTACCTAATATATTGGTTTAATGACTTCAATTAAAACAATTTTTTGCTTTCAAATCTTTACTAGTTCGACTCAAAAGATAATTTCAGTCAATGACAGATAGCTGAGGATGTATGCTGAGCATAGAAACTCAGTAAGCTGAGATTGGGACATTTTGACTTTATGACGTGTAGTCCATATAAATGCATGATGAAATGCACGAAATTGTATGCGTGCCATCATAAATTTGTATGGACTACACGTCATAAAATCAAAATGTCCCAATCTCAGCTTACTGAGTTTCTATGCTCAGCATATATCCTCAGCTATCTGTCATTGACTGGGTAATTTCAATGGAAGTCAATGGTACAAGTAGCCGTTACCTACCATAAAAAAGTAATAATCGTGCAGCATTTTATCGATAAGGAATATTGTAAATTCACGTTTGAGAACATCACATGTACGAAAGCGAAATCATCAAATTAAATGCTGATAAATCGAATAGGAAAGCACCCGAAACCAACGGATAGGCAATATAACCCGATAATGATCACGTTCGTTTGAAACAGCTCAACAAAGGATGAACGTGGTGAAACTATTATTTATTTAATACATATTGATGACGCGTATGGCACGTTTCAACTTATTTGCTTCTGATGCATGATTTATTCCATATGTCGCGGCTATCTAACAACGATAACAATGGATTAATTTTTTCCTTCGATAAGATAAAGTAGAATGTAGCTCATCCTTCGATCTGGCCAATATAAAATTAATGAATCCGATTCAGATCAGTTTAGCCGCTAACATGAAGAAGTCACACAATCTTTGTAAGTGATCGTCACGTAAATTAATTGTTTTCATTTTTTTCTACATTAGAATGGCTTTGGCTTTAAACAAATTACTTTTTCGAAGTTGGCTGGAAAATGGGGACAAATTCAAGAGCGTTTGATTGAAATTGGCGTGTTATGAATAAAATATGGCAAATGTCGTTGAACTAACATTGTTTTTTCTCTCGATCGAATAGTCATTGTTCTGTTATCTGAATGTTCTAGGTACATTCTTACCCCAACGAGTCATCGTCGGGATAATGGGTTTCTTCGCGATTGCCGCGCAATACACAATTCGACAATGTTTGTCCGTCGCTATCACTGCAATGACCGTAAAAATCGACGAACCGGGAGGAGGACACAAAATGGATGCAAAGGTAAATCCAACAACAAATCCATATTTAATAAGAACGAGAGACGCGGAATAACAGGCTTTCTCTATCGATTTGGAACAGCTTGGCGATAGATATGAATGGTCGCAAACCTTACAAGGTTGGATTTTGAGTAGTTTTTACATTGGCTATGTGATTACACACATACCGGGAGGTCTAATAGCAGAAAAATTCGGTGGCAAATGGACGATGGCTCTGGGAATTTTCGTAATGGCCATTTTGAATGCTTTGACACCATTGGCCATTGAATTTGGTGGCCATATCGCATTGATAACAATACGAATTGGTAGGTTTTGTATCTGACTTCTTGATTCACACATTGACTATTGAGAACATATATTGTATAAATGATTGGAAATATATATCTTTTTGCTTCTAGATACATATTTTCTTTTCTATTTTATTCAGCTCAGGGACTTGCTGGAGGCACAACATATCCAGCTCTAAGCGTTATGTTGGCTGCTTGGGTACCTGAAAAAGAGAGAGGCAAACTTGGATCGGTTGTATTCGGTGGCGGTCAAGTATGCATCAGTCGTTATTTTTTTCCTGAAATAATTTCAAGGATTTTATTTCTCAATGAAACAAAATTCATTGTTTGTCAATTTCAGATTGGATCGCTGGTGTCATTTGCCATATCTGGTGTGATTTCTGATCGTTTCCACTGGTCAATGGTGTTCTATTTCTGGAGTGTTATTGCAATCATTTGGTTCATTCTATTTGTAAGTAGAATAACGCAGAAAAAAATCCGAATTCGATTACATTTTTGCGGTTTCTCTTCAAAGGTTGCAATTTGTTACAATGATCCCGATTCGCATCCACACATCACACAAAAAGAGCTGGACTATCTCAAAAAGGAAATGGGTCAGACAAAACGGAATGACGATATGCCGCCAACACCGTGGATGTCGATTCTAACAAGTGTTCCAGTGTTTGCCTTAATCTGTGGTCAAGTAATGTCAAGCACTTGGTTGATTTCACTCCGGGAGAAAATGAAACACATAATCTCGTTTGTTTCTTCTATCATTAGATCGGACACGATTGGATATTCTATATTATGTCCGCCGATATGCCGAAGTACTTGACAGACGTTCTCAAATTTACAACCACTGATGCGGGCCTGTACTCTGCGTTACCTTACTTGGTTATGTGGGTCTTTTCGATTGTGTCTGGTTTTGTATCCGACTTCTTGATTGTTCGCAATATCACTACGATTACACAAGCGCGTAAAATATTTACGGCTTTAGGTGAGTGTTATCACGCAAGTGCTTGTTGACACTTTTGTAAATTCGATTTTATCGCCTCAGTCCTAATGAAATCGTATGTATCAAGTGCCCTAATGAACCGATTTCTTATACGCTTAACGTACGCACTCTAAATATCAAGTTCCAAGGAGAACAGTCCAAGTAATAGAAATAATACATAAATTTTTCTCTTGTTTGAATCACAGGTGGCGTGTTCCCTGCAATTTTCTTAGTCGGCGCATCCTATGCTGGGAATGACAAAGTACTTATCATACTACTATTCACATTAACCATGGGTTTCCTCGGCAATTTTTATCCAGGATTGAAAGTCAATGCATTAGACTTGAGCCCCAATTATGCTGGCAGTCTTATGGCACTCACAAATGGCATCGGTGGCATTACAGGCGTCTTGGCTCCACCATTTGTTGGACTCATGGCACCACAGTCGACACTTGAACAATGGCGTTTCGTTTTCTGGATTACATTTGGAGTTTCGATTGTGAGAATAATTATCTTTGTTATGTGGGGTTCTGCCGAAATTCAACCATGGAACAATCCGCAAAGTAAAACCTCACCGGAATCCGGTACTCAGAATAAAAAGGAAGAAAATGGCAATACTTCAGAAGATCGAAAAGGAGAAAACTGTAATACTTCAAGGAAACGATATGATTCAGAGCATCTACACGATGAAATACGGCAAAATAATGCACAAGTTTTCACTACAGAAAAATCAACGAGATATTGAAAAGAAATGGTACAAAACAATGGATTTATTATTATTTTTAATACTTTTATTAAAATTGAAAATTAATCTAAGCCAAAAATAAAAAAGATGGTTTTGATTTAAATTTATGAATCGTGTGTATTACAGTGAGCATTCGGAAATCTTAAGTAGTTTGTTTTCGGAAAATGGCTCAAGTTTTCTGCACGATTAAGATTTGACTTAAGATTTCCGAATGTTTATTGTAGTTGAACTGGTGCGATCACGGCCGTAGCCAGCACAAATTTCTTGGATGAGCGGAGAGAATTTTTGGGTGAGCGCAGCAAAATTTGATGATTATGAAAATGTCATTAATTTTGAAAATCGATTCTGTCTAGAGTAAAAGCCACAAATAATCAAATAATGTATAAAATGTGATTTTATAGAGATCCCAACCCTTTGGAATTTTATTCCTTTTATTCCAAAAACGCTTCATTCACAGATTCACACTATATCACGGTGAAACACGTGATTTGTAATTTCTAGCGAATCGTCAGGATTCTTAATCCCATCAGATTCAATTTAGTGTCTGTAATAATTTGAAATTGTTATTGGTATTGTATTGCTTGAACTTTATAATATGCCACGTCAGAACTAACATATCAATTTAAGACAACGGTTTACACTGTGTTGATGTTGTCAATTTGATGCAGAAATTTCTTGAAAAACCAATACACACCACAGCCATTGTAAATTAGTTATTATCAATAGGAAAATAACTCAAACGATTCGCTAGAAATTACGTATCTACAGAAATATAGATTTTCAGTATTCAGTTAGAAAATCGTACTATAATTAGAGAAATTAGGACATTTTTCAATATAGTTGACCAATTACTTTTGCATTGATGTGGTCAAAATGTTTTTACTTTAATCATCATTCTCTGTTGTCATTTGTATCGCCGTACTCGTAACTCATGTTGTTGGTTTTGTATTGCCTTAACCCGTACGTAACTTGCCTTAACCTGTACTGATTTTCATTTTACGTACGGGTTAAGGCAATACAAAACCAACAACACTTTAATCATCATATTTGGCTTCAGTTATGTTGGTTAAGTGTAATAAAAATATAATTTGTGTAATGTTCAAATGAAAAAAAATTAGTTGCGAGCGGAGCGAGCAAAATTGTTCAGAGGATTCTTAATTACAGCGAAAACTATAGCTAAAATAATTTTGGGAGTCGAGCATTTTTAGGTGAGCTCAAATAATTTTTGGGTGAGCTGAGCTCACCCAAGCGTATGGCTGAATACGGCCGTGGGTGCGATAGCTATGTTAATTAACAGGACGATCAACGCGAATAACGCGATGACCAACATTGAAGTATGCCTCGTACTCGATTGTGTCTGGTGTTGTGTCGTTATAATAGTGACCACCCCATTTGCTTTGTGAGAAACTGTGGAAATGCTGCAAATTCAAATCAACATCCATTGCATCGGTTACGAAGGTTCCGACGGCTATCAATGGGCTGGACATATTATAAAATTTCAACCATTTGTATGCATCTTCAATCGGTTCTTTGGAAAAATCGGGCTGAACATGATGGAATGCACTGCCGTTTTTGATAACAAACACACCACCAATACCTAGTGGTCGAAGATGAAATTGAAAATAGTCTATTATTATTTGATGTTATTTTTGAAAATGTTTCTGATTTATTTCACTCACCCACGGTCTTATCACGGAACTGCGCACGAACGGCATTCTTACAGATGCCAACAAAGCTCCCTTGTTTTCCAATTCGCTTTTTCGCTTTCACATGTACTACCTGCAACGATTGAAAAACGGTTGAATGTGAACTGAGTCTTCTGTTGTTAGTCAACCTGTCCTTTTTGACCCTCTGACAAAAACAAGCTAGCCATAAATGGAAACCGAGTTTCGTTTGATGGAATTTCCACGAGATCAGACGATCCATCATCGAGAACACGTGCAATACGTGATTTACCATTAATCGTTACATTTCCATTATCCTTGCCAATTTGCAAATTATAAATTCCCTAAAACTCCATTTCATTCTCGATGATTATTCGTTCAGTAATGTGAAATAAATTAAAATGAGAAATTAATAATTTCACGTATAATTTCAAATTATACCTCACAATTATGATTAATCACCATAAAAGGGCCGGCTCCGGCGCCAGCGATCGAAACCGTTCTTGTATTTGGCAACGCTTTTTGTGCAATGTCAACGAAATCATAGACTTTTATGAAATTTGGGACTGGCAGAAGATGCGAAGCGCCGCCAACATCAACGATTGTTTGCGATCCAGTCAATCCTTCAGTGGCCAAATAAAATGGTGCTTTTGTCAGATCTGGACAATCCTGAATTTCGACTGTCACATCTGCATAGTTTTTACTTAGACCGGCTCTGAGTGCTGTCGAAATGTCAAGTGTTTATTGAAATTTTCACTGTGTACTCTGTGCCTTTTCACAGCAATTGATGGATTACAATGTATTATATATAGAAATGAGCGAAAAGTAACATGGAAAATCAATTCGTCCAAAGCAAAATATCATTAATACATTGAATGTACAACATTATCTACTTTTATTTTCAATGTCAAATCAGACAATGTCTGACCACTTTAGATTAAACCATTTTCAACGCATGTTTCACTTTGAAAAATTTATTTTTCTAGTGTGCTCTATATTTTGAAACTTATTCACTTACCACTTGCTAGAATACGCAAACTTGGAACATGCAGTTCTCTTTCTTCCCATGGTACTTCAGTTAAATTGATCGGTTTGACATCGTTACAGTTCACATATAACTAGAGAGTTTTAAAGTCATTGCTAACATTCATTTGATGATTCAATAAATATCTCATTACTTTCAAATACAATATCCAAATAAATCATTACCACAGGTGTTGTAACTAGAATGAAAACCATCACAAAATTCGTTGAATGTAATACAGCCATTTTTTAACTTGGAAAATTAAATGAAATAATCACTATTATGAATCAATTTTTTAGTTTTTCTTCAAGGTTTTTTGTTGTTATTTTTGGTGGAAAAAATCCAAGTCTAGTGTATACTTTTCATCGGTATTATTTCTTTTACAATTAATTCAACAGATCTCGACACACTCGACCCAAATGATTGAACTTTGATTGGTTTCAGTTCCGATTCCTCAACACATTTATTTACATTTTCATGCTTATGATAACGAAATAAAAATGACAGTTGAAAAAAGTGTAGCAAAATTTTGCGCTTAAGTATTTACTACACTGTTTTTGAATCTTCTTTGGTAAAGTAATACATTGTCAAACGTCAAATTATCGCTATGAAAATTCGAATTCAGAAAAATTATTTGTACGTATTTCGTCTATCGCTGAATTGATTTTGTTATCGCTACTTTTAGAAATCATCGTGATAACACAGTTCGACACAGGTTTTTTTTTCTTGCCCCTTGGGAGATTTTTTCAGGTGTTGTAGAGGACCCCGAATCATGAACTTCTGCATTTTTACTTTTTGTAAGTTGGATCGATTCAAGAGATTTTTGATATTTAGCGTTTTTGGTTTGGAGGAAGCCCAAAAAATGCAATTTTTTGCCATTTACTCACACTTTTGCTGGTTTTACGTATATAGTTGCTGCTTGAAAATTGTTTAGCGGATCATTTCACATGGAAATTGATTTATCAGAATCGGAAAATTAGTTCTACAGAGCGAAATATGGCCAAAAAATGGCAAAAAATGGCAAAAATCGCCTATTTTCAATCAATTATTGAATTTTTTGCACATTTTTGTTGGTTTTATGCATATGGTTGCTCGTTAAAATTGTTCAGCATGAAATTTTACACAGAATTACATTCACAACAATCATATGTTTTGCTACAAAATGAAAAAAAACATGCCGAATTATAAAATTTTCATTCTAAATAGCGATTCGTTCTTATTTAGAATACTTCACTCGGTCAAATACAATGTATATGACATTTATTGCTTGCTCTTTTAATATACAAACCTTTTCCAAGCATCAACAGAATCGTTTACTTACCACTATAAACCATAAGGCGACAATGCGGCGCGGATCTCGGACTGTGCCAAATAAACACACATTTTATTTTGTGAACAATTGCTATTCTCAATTCGATTTCGTTCTGAAGACGCTGCGAATTTCAAGACTAAAATGTTTGTGTATTTCAAATCATTTTATGTTTGGTTTTTATTTATTAACCCTCAACTGCATGAATTTGAATGTAATTTCAATTTTCTGCATGAAATGTAATGAAGAAGAAAATGTACACAAATTTATTGTTATCAATTTTCATCAAAATTCAAGATTATTCTGAAAAAAGAAATTATAATTTATAAATCTTGTTAATTGTATTTGTTGATCCATCATAAGTATTCTGTTGAACTTGAATATCCATGGGTAATATTCAAATCTAATTCATGCTATTGAGTACGGCAAGAAGAGAGTATGTCACTTTTAG